TCTGCCTTTGATTTTCCAACTCCTACAACCAATATTCTTTGAAAAGGAGCCATTACTCACATGTCTAGAGATGCTAACAAAGGATATTTTTGCTGTTATTCTCTTAAAGATCCATCAATATCATCTCATCTATCTTCGGATAAATTAAATCTCCAGGTATAACAACAAATACAAGCTGGAGTTTTTCTCGTAGATATCGTTAAGAATTGAAAAAAAATTCAGTTAATCTAATAATTGATTAAAACATTATGTATTTGTATTTAATAATCACTACAACACAAAAAAACACAAAATTTTAAATAAAGCATACAATAAAAAATTCATATAAGTATCAGTTTACCCTACCACGACGAATCTCAGTAAGGACCCTATTTTGCCTAACCTTTCCCTAACATCTAAGACAACTGTAGCTAACTATAAATTAAGAGTTTCGTGGATTTAAGAATTTAAAAAGACTTTCAACAAACACTGTATTTTTTTATTATTTTCTACTAAAACTGCGTGAACTGAGCAATTATTGTCAGTTTAAATATAGTCACGTCTGGAAGTCGACTTTTAGCACAACTGTTTATAAGATTATAAAGCGAAGACGTTCAGCATTATGAATATCGCCAGCCACGCCAGCGATTTAACCCGTGACAATAAATCAGGACCGACTTTAGCTGACATTTGCGTCACCGCCGCCGGGCCGTCCCCAAACTCGTCTTATCAATACAAATACACTCAGTACATAAGGATAACGGCGGCAACACATGTGAATGTCACGTATTCCGCAGGAAGTGCCGAGAGTAAATATAATTCAAGTCTAGTAGAACACGTCCTGACGAGTTCTCCCCGGAACGAGCTTTAATTAAGACCGTACCAACCTTAGGTATCTTTGTTTAGATCTATTAATCTTATTCATTCGAATTAATTATCGTGCGACGTTCAACAATGCAATTCGGGTTGTAGATACTTGTTCCTGGAGATGCGAATCTTCTACATACGCACACAAGAGGCTTACAGATGTTATATTAATTCTCTAGCGCAATTAGTTGTGCGGTGGCCTCTTTGCTCTGTTTTAGGGAAAAGGGACTAATAAAGACGTTATACTTGACGAGGATTTGGTTAACGAAGATCTAGGCTTGTCTCTTTGTTGCCGTGTTTTTTCCTCCTACTACACGTCATAAACAAATGTTCCGAGTTGTGCCGTCATCAAGCCCGACGACAAAAACACCCTCCCAGGATTATTATTGTTACAAGTTTGGTTGAAGCAAGCTTGATCTATGGACCTACAGACGTATTACGGCCCATCAAACAAGATAAAAGTTTCCCAAATACAAAGAAACACCCCACCTATTGTCTTGCATTAGAGCACGTGCGAATTTAAAACCATAAATATTTTGCCACGATTTTTGCCATCAGATTTTTCATAAATTCAGAGTACTGCTGTAATCCATTCTTCTTCGGAATTTCGTCTTATTGCATTAACTAAAAACAATTCGAGAGTCTCGATAACACAATAGCTTCAAATATCGTCTAGAATTTTTTTAAGCGTTACAGATTTAATAACATCGTGACAAATAAAGGATTATATAAATTATATTTAACCACGTATTTCTCTGGAAACTTCATGTTTGCAAATGTAGGAAGTTGTTTTAATGCAAGCTTTTATGCAAAAGTTTGTTTTTAGAAAACTAATTCAAGTTGCGCTACATTAAATTACACAAAGGCTGCAAGTACAATTCGGCAAATGTTTTTATTTTCTGAGTTCTATAAAATTTTTCCACAATAACTAAGAGTCCTTCTTTATCATTGTAAAATTTGTAAAAGTCATATATTTCCACTGTTTCTGTTATTTTCTTAAATTAAATTTTATTCTGTAGGTATTTAAGTATTTGTCTCTTTGTTAATAGCTAATCTGTATATCCTGTGTCAACAGTAAAAATGATTCTTCAATAAAATAACAATCACTAGGTAAATGAATAATTTTTAAGTGGTTTTGCGAAGTATCTATTTGGAGGTGGCCAGTTAATGGAAAATTGTCCAAAATTATTTAAACGGAAGTTCCCTCGCTTCTGTTTTTGAAGTTTATTTAATAATATTCTGTAAAAATGCGCACTTATAGTGTGCGACACAATTTACTTCCCTGTGGTACGGATTTTGGAAAAATTAAATGAAGTACGCCCCCACTTTTTCGGAAAATTTTATTTTTTTTATGATAAACCCTAAATAAAAAAATTGGTCTAAGGTTATTTCGACAGAAATTCCCTCGTCCCTGAGGTACATTAAAACATGTCCATCTTATTTCGAAAAATGATAACATTTGATTTTGCGAACTTTATTTGACTTGACTTAACAAATTGACTCATTCATTAATTTTTTTTTATCACTCTGTACAAGCAATTCAAATGCAATGTTAAAATCACAAGCACAAGTATAGACTCATCACACTTTGCACATTTTAGGTAGGATTTATTCGGCAAAATTTTTTCATCAATTTTTGAGGGGGTAAGCAGATATATTTTGATTAAAAATTTGCCATGCTTGTGATAACTTTAAAACATCTGCAAGATTTCAAAGCATTCGATTTTATACAGATTCAAAATTAAATTGCAAAATGTTACATAAATTTTTGATTTTTTTTTCTAAAATTCAAGACGTTTCGAGTAAAACTCAACACGGATTCATAAACTACACGTGTAGGACTATGTTATTTGATACAATTTAAAATCCATTTACTATGTACAATTTTGAGATGACATCATCATTCTTGGTGGGAATGATTAAACAAAATTTGGTTAGTGTTTTACCACTTACGTGATATTCCTAATATGCATACAAAATTTGAGAATAATCGGTCCAGTAGTTTCGGAAATTATCTATCTAATATAATTCCGAACAGACAGCAGACATACATACAGACAGACAGACAGACAGACAGACAGACAGACCAACAGACAGACAGACGGAAACGGTGGACCTATTTCTTCGTACTCTAGTGGTACACGAGAAGTCGAGAAAATATAAAAGTAGAGAGTCGGCCGACAGACTCGATTACGATACTTCCTTCGCTTACGCTCGGGAAGTATAAATATTAATTTCAATTAATTTTTAAAAATTCAAAATAAGCTGTAAAAATTTAATAAAGAAAACTATGAATTGTTTATAAATTTAAAGGTGTAAGTGGCAGTGTTCTACTTGACTTATGTTATTACTCCTCTGTCAAATAGACAGGATTGTAAAACGCATCAACAGTATCATCAAAATAAATCATAAACATATTAAGAGGTTGACATTTTGTCGAAAATTCTACCAATTTGTTTTTTTTTTTTCATTTGCTGAGTAAGTATTTTCATGATATAATGTGCAAACACACATACACAACAAAATTAGTATCCGGTTCAAACGCGGTGGAGATCAAAACATGTTTTCCCCAAAATTAAAATGGAATTTTTACAGTTTACCCTCATTATTTGCAATGGTAAAATAATAAATTCACTGTATTCATTCATGAAAAATAAGAGAAGCTCTTGATGTTTTATTAATACTTAATTAATATCGGAATGACAATGTGGGAATAGAGAGCTTTGTAACTAATTGTAACATACATTATTCACTTAATTAGTAATCTATCATCTCATTAATCCTGACACGTTATTAATTTAGATCTTGGAGGATGAATAACTTCATCATGCAGCTAGCAGGATTTGCTCCAGTAATAAACAGTGCGAGAACTACTTATGAAATAATTCTGTAATTTAAAAGCTATCAGTTGGTACTTTGTCCAAATTTCAGCTTATTTTGTGTGCACTTTTTTGTTAAACTATGAACTTAAATCTTATTTTTAATAAAATGTTGCGTTTTTTTCCTATTTTGAATGCACTTTATTTTGGATAATGGTATATTATTTTATGAGGAGCAAAAGTGAAACTTTTTGTGAGGAGTTTGTAATTTTGACGGCCGACCGACGGGAGACCGGCAAATACAAACGAAACACAAAAAGTCACTTTTCTATAGTATTTTTTCTTCAAACGTCTGCAAATTAGATATAGAAGTAATTTAAAAAATTGAAATTTTCACTTTTTAAGAATGGATGATTTAAGTTTTATCTGAATACAGTTACTATGGTTGGCAACAACAAAATTTCAAAAAACAGTTTGCGCGTAAATATGTCTTAATTTGTTTGTTATTTGTCATTAAAAGAGAATAATATCTTTGCATAGAATTATTTAGTACGAACAGTGACTATGGATGTTTAAATACATAGTCAATGCTATAAGTGAACTGGATCTACAATGCACCTCACCTGACGTTTTAAAAGCCCCTGCAGCCAGCCACAGAGAATCTTGAGCCAACACAATCGGGAGCGGTCTACGAAGATGCTTTATAAACGATTTTGTTTTCTAGATGTATGTTTCAGTGTGCTTTGGATAATGTTGCTATGGTTTCTGACGCCTCTAGCGGCAGAAAAAGTATTTGTCTGCCGTTGTTAAGAATTGGCTGAAACGTCAGATTTTAAGAGTCAATTGTTGAGTTACAAAATGTCATGTTTTTTTTAAGTTTCAATTTCATTTTCGAGAATAATTAGTTTTCAAAATATCTAAAAACCGTCACCAGGTGATTCTACACATTACAAAATTTTAAATTAAATTTTAGCCAGTTGCACACTACTATTTTGTGTAGAGTTTACTAGACCATTATTTTTTAAGTACACTCACTCAACTAGATTTTACACTTTATTTTATTATTTTATAACGTCAAGTGATACTAAAAATTGAATGAACGTTATTGAAAATGATACTTCAAACTGAATTGCTATTGTTCTTGTTTTTTAATGTTTTAATAAATAAGGCGTTACAACTATTGTCTTACCAAAAATAATTTTTAAACAAATTTAATACATGTGATTCTCGTTAGTTGCTTCGTCTTTAGAAAAATATTCGTCTGTGACTATCGTTGGTGATTTTGAGAAATAGCGACGCTTACGGTTTTCAGATTTTTATTAGATGCTTACAGTTTTAGAACTCGAGGAAGAAGAAAGAAGGGTGCTTGAACTGTCAACAAGTAGGTTAGGTTTTGGAGAGGTGAAAGTAGGTAAAGAAAGAGTTTAGAAAATTCTCGAAACTAGACAAAGTAGGACCATACGGGAGGTAGACGAAAGATAGGACGTATTTACATTTGTCAGAGATTTACATAAATTATAACTGCATTCAGGTAGATCACGTGTTTTTGGGGGATCGGTTGTTCCTACAGTACCCCCTGCTAGTGTTTTTCGGGAAAAACCGCTTTGTAGGCGCTCAAGGAAGCGCACCCGTCTTTCTGACCTAGTGGTCCTCGTTGTTGTGGAATCTGGCACCTCGTCGTCGTCGCGCGATTGATCTGCGAAGGGTGCTGGTTCGTCAGTTGTGGGCGTCGTCCTCGTAGTGTCGCGGCCAAACCATGACGTGGGCGTATCGTCATTGAGTACATACGCGCGTTTGAGCCGATCTATGGAAACGGTATCATCGCGACCTTTTATATTGACGACGAATGTTTTCACCAATCGCCGTACGACTCTGTACGGACCGTTGTGTGGTTGTTGAAGCGGCTGCTTGGGACAGTCGTGGCGTACAAAAACTTGTTCGGAGGTAGCGAGATCATTGAAAAGGAAGGTCTTCTTTGTTCCATGTCGCGTTCCATGACTGTTGACTGGCTGTTTTCGTCGCGTGAGATGCCTAGGAATTCATCGGGCAGGAGGAGAGGTTGGCCATATACGAGTTCGACGGAAGAACCCTAGAAGTCTTCTTTCCATGCTGCTCGAATGCCGAGCATGACGGTGGATAGGGTTCAGTCCAGAGTTTATTGTGGTGGCACATGATTGCCGGTTTTAGCTGTCGGTGTAGGCGTTCAACAATTCCGTTGGCTGAAGGGTGGTAGGCTGTAGTTCTCAAATGAGTGGTTCCTAATAAACATAGTTGTTTAAATAGGTACGACTCGAATTGTCTACCTTGGTTGGTGGTTACTCATAGCGGGATGCCGAATCGTGCGATCCATGCTTCGTAGAAGGCTCGTGTCACGGTTGTTGCTTCCTGATTGCTAATTGGTACGGCTTTTGGCTAGCGGGTGTACTGATCTACCATGGTAAGCCAATAACGACAAACCTCTGAGCGTGGCACAATTACTATATCTAAGTGCAAGTGCTCAAACCGCGCTGATGGTGGCGAGAACGTACCGACGGACGAAGAGACGTGGCCTGAGACCTTCAAACGCTGGCACTCTACGCAGTTGCGAGCCCACTCTCTACGATCTGCTTTTACTGATGGCCAGACGTAATATTGCGTCACCAGTTTTACGGTGCCTTCAACGCCTGGATGAGATAGACGGTGGATCGACTCGAATGCAACTCGGCGAAACGACTTGGTGACGAAAGGACGCGCTGTTCGCGTGGAGACATCGCAGAGTACCGATACGTCGCAGCCTGGGATTCGTACCAGTTTGAGCTGAAGGCCTGTATTCCTCGTCCGAAATCTTTCGAGTTCGTCATCCTGCTGTTGTGCTGCTGCCAGAGCCTGGAAATCGATCGAGGTCTCCAGGGCCTCGATACGGGAAAGAGTATCTGCGGTCCCTGCAATGTGGCGAATGTCAGTTGTGAATTGACTGATGAAGTCCAGGTGTCTAGGGTCTGAAAGGCGTACGTGATCGGCTTGTGGCCTGTATAGATGGAAGACCGTGCCTCCACCATGTGCCTAAAATGTTTGACCAGGAGATAAACGGTTAGCAGTTCTCGATCATAAGCCCCGTAGTTTGACTCGGTTGCCAGTGACCATTGTCCTTCTGTGGACGACTTCTCCTATAGCCAAATCTGACGCGTCCGAAAAAATAGTCGGCTCGGGATGTGATAATAATGTGGCTCCGGCGAGGCTCTCTTTGCACGCCTCGAATGCGGCCACCGTTGCTAGTGTCCAGTTGCCCAAAGCTCTTCCTTTGACGTTGCCCTGGAGGAGGTCGTTCAATGGTGCTTGGGTCTCTGCCGCCTTAGGTAGAAATTTCCTAAAAAAATTCAACCTGCGCAACTTTTTTACTGTATTTGGCTGCGGGAAGCTTCGGATTGCCTCGACCTTTTCTGGAAGTGGGCGTGTACTTGCGCCGGAAACGAGGTATCCCAAGAATTTGACATCTGGCTGGCATTTCATAGGATCGATAACGGCGCCATACTGTCTCAAACGCTGAAACACAGTTTCCAAGTGCTGGAGGTGTTCGTCTGGTGATGCGTCAATGTATGCGTAACAAAAATCGAGACCCTGCAGCACCTCGTCCATGAATCGCTGGGACGTCTGCACTGCGTTTCGTAAGCCGAACGTCATAAATTGAAATTCAAACAAGCCGAATGGGGTGGTAATGGCAGTCTTCGGAACTCCTTGAAAATATGATTTTACCGTGTAAGGATTGCGCAAATTCTTGAATGTGCCTCACCGGCTACCTGGCGGGGCAGGTTCTCGCGTTGATAGCACGGTAATCCCCGCATGTCCTCCAGCCCTTCTTGGGCACCATGTGTAGCGGTGAAGACCATGAACTTTGGAAAGGACACGCGATTCCTAGCTTGGACCATGACGTCGAATTCTTTTCTTGCTGCCTGGGGTCTGTCGGGCGCTAGTCTTCAAGGACTTTGCCCAATGGGAGGGCCCGGCGTGGTTACGATGTGGTGGCGAGTGGAATGTTTTACCGCCTTAGGAGTTCCGTCTGGACGTGTGACATCGGGAAACCATTGGAGGAGTTCGTGGAATGGTAAACATTCAGCGATGCTTTTGACGGACGGGATCGCACACTCAGTCACCTCTCCCGTGGAAGTGAGTTGAGTAATTTGATGGTGCAGTCGCTGATTTCTTATGTCTACTAGGAGTCCATAGTGTGCCAGGAAGTCGGCTCCGATAATGGGCTTCACCACGTCCGCAACACGTAAACTCGCGCCGTAAGCCCAAATTCAACGACAACGTGATGGTTCCGTACGTCGTGGTGACAGTGTCGTTTGCCGGGGAAAGTTCATATGTGGACTTGGTACGCGGTTTTGGTAGCAGAGTATGGGGGAACACACACAGATCGGCGCCGGTGTCGATGAGGAATGTTTTCCTTGTTGTCCTCTCGGTGACGAATATAGTACCTAAAGCGGGAAGACCTGTTCAAATATGCTTAAAATGAAGGTATAAAGGTTTTTGGGACGAAAATGTGTTACTGTTGGTCTATTATAAGGGAAACTGACAGTACTGTCAATAAAAGAACGACAGTGTTAACCATTTTTAATTTTCAGTCATAATGTTTATAATATATACTGGGTGTTGCTTTTATTTGATACAACCCCTGTAACTTTATTCTTATAGATAAACCTGTATTTCTTTGAGCTAATTTGTATCATTTTAAAAGATCTTTGTGAGGTCAACCTCACATTTTTATTATCACTTCCCTTAGATAAGTCAAAAGCAACCAATTATTCTAAAATCAATACTTGAAAAATTGTAAATAACACATTGATGACAATCTAGTAGCTTGAAAAATTGACATTCATGTTATTTATTTACCTAAATGGTCTTTTAAAATGATACAAATTTGCTTAAAAAACTATATGTTCATACATATTTAAAAATAAAAAAGTTATAAGAGTTGTATAAAAGAAAAAAAATCCGGGGTATGTTTATATAAATATCTCAAAAACCTGACGTGATGGATTTTTTCTGCTTTCAGATTTGAATTTCCCGAACCCAAATCCTTTAGATTCAACTATTTTTGTCTTTGGATATAAAACCTTGTAAACTAGTGTTATTAGACTACCCCAACCAGTGTGGAATTCCAACAATTCGGCGCATTGATTACAGTCATAAAGATATCAGACTAATATTTAACGTGTCAAGTGACAAAACATTTCCCTAATTATAACATGTTAGGTAGAGTTATAATATTAACCAAGAAGTGATAAACTTGAAGAGAAATTCGGAAGTGTGCGTTAATCGATCCCGTTAACTTCTCAAAGTACAGATAAAGACTTCAAAACAATCCTTCGATATGCTCTTGAAACTTTTCACTGAAACTTATTCGCTGTTACTTTAAACAGAAAGCGGAATGTAAGAAGAAACTTATTACTGACGAATAAAAACATTAAGTTCGTTAAGTATGTAAACTTCAAAAAATCAAAGTTTGATCTCAAAAAACTGATTTACTACATACTTCGCTCAACAAAAAATTAACATGAGAAAATACAAGAATCTGAAAATTTGGAAAGAAAATATTTTCTACAATTATATAATCCCAGTGTTTAGAATACTTGATGCCTTGGGATGATTATCCGAGGACTAGATAACTAATAAAAAACTGCGACCGTCTTGGTTGAAATTTATTCCAAAACTCTGTGCAAAAATGAAGAGTACCGACTAAGGGGTAGTATGATAGACTCCTACCTCTTACAACACCAGATATCTGCTTAAAATATTATGGAATTTACAACACCCGGTAATAGATAATTCAAGATTTACCGACATATGATATATAAGAATTGTGTTTTCTCGGAATTTCTTCAAGTTGTACCATTTTTTGTACCGACTTAGTTTTATACTTACATCTGTTTTTATTACACTGAATATACGCTCTTATTAGACAACCTCCTCACACGTTAGAAAACAAAAAAATTTCAATAAACACCATATTTAATATACTTCTTTATGAAGTTGCGGTTATGATCAAACAAAATTAATTTACGCCGCAAATTGGGTAACAATTACATATAACATACTTAAGAATAATTTTGAGTTTATAAACGAAATATAAAATTCTTAAATCAATTTCATCACTGGCACTTTCTAAAAAAATACACATTTTGGCGTTCACAGCATTTAATAAAAATTGCTCGAAGGTTCTTTAGCCAGAACTTCCCTCGCTCTTGAAGTACAATGAAACATATCCAGCATTTTACGGTTTAAATTATTTATTGATTTAGATTACTGCAACAGAGAATTTCAGAAAAAAAAAACTACTTACTTATGTATTCAAAGCGCAATTTTGTTTCAGCGTGTGATATTCTACTGAAAAACTCTCTGACACCAAAAAGACAAAGTAAACGTTTTTATAAAAGAGTTTATCATGCGTACGGCCACTGCGCCTAAAATTCGGATAACACTTCTACTTAAAATTTTTCTCTCGCCAACGCTGAAAGAGTAATAATTGTAAAGTCTCGTCCTCCGGGAGCAATCTTTCAGTGTTGCGTGGGAAAAATCTCAGGAATATAAACACTGTGGGTGGAAACTTGTTCCACCGAAACAGCAAATTATGCCCGACGTTTTACGTTGGTGGAAATACGATGGTTAATTGAAACGTAATACTACCAACGGTACAATAAAAATTAATAAGCGTACAATATAAGGTTACTCCAAACTTTTGATTAATTTGTAACAATGTAACAATAATAATTAATAAAGCCACATGAGATAGCATAACGCCAGCAGTTACTTATTTGGATTTATTGTTAAATATACAGGGTGTCTCAGAAATAAGTACATTAATTTTAACCAGTAGCAGAACTCGTGAAACGGAACAACTTTTTTATCTAGCATTTTCTCGAAAACTCAAGTGGAATTTCGAATTTTCCCACCCATATATTCACGAACCGTCTATGTTCACCTTAAATAATAACTTAAATAATAGCAACACTACAACAATGAAGAAGGTACCCTAGCAACCGTTTTGACACTGACAATCATTTTTATGTCAAGTGTATGTTATTAAACGTTGTCTCTTTAAAGTTTGTTTGGCACAGATTTCTAATTTAGAGACGAAATGTGTTGAAATGGCTTTGCTTTCAAATCTGGAATGCACCGATATCGTTTTAACGTACGGTGAAGCTCCGGGAAACGGCACTCGCGCCCAAAGAATTTTTTCAGAAAGCCTCCCAAATCGTCGTCTGCCAAATATGCGCAGTTTTAAGAACGTTACAGCATCTTCGAGAGTACGGATTTTTTAAACCTGCACCTCAGGATCGGGGTAAGTTACGTAGTAATAGAATTGCTAATATTGAAGAGGCTGTTTTGAAGAGTGTCGAAGCTCGACCGGGCACTAGCACGCATCACTGTCTAGTGTGATGTATCGGAGAGTAGTATTTGGAGGATACTCAGAGAACAAATGTACCCCTTTCAGGACCAGAAAGTTCAGTTATTGAAACTAACAGACTTACCACGTAGGCAAAACTTTTGTGAGTGGGTTAACAGAAAAATAAACGAACAAGTAAATTTTGTATCTCTGTACCGTTAAGTGATGAGGTCGGATTCACGAGGGAAGGTATAATCAACACCCACATTTGGGCCGATGAAATTCCGTACGCTATTAGGGAGCAGCATTTTCAATTTCTCTCTAAATGTTTGTCACGTTGACAAGACTAGAAAAATACGTATCCTAGTAACTGTTTTTGACCATAAGTTATTAATTATAATAATTATTAGTGTCCATGGGTGACTGAGGATCCATGGGCGGGTAACCTTAATTGGGACAAAACTTTAACAATTTTTAACTTGATAATTAAAAAGTTCCTGACAAAACTCTATTAAAAAAAGTTGTAGAGTTTGATGAGCTCTATAACTGATTAAAATTAATATACTTATTTCTGAGACACCCTGTATACGTCTGCGATCAATCAATGACTATAATACTGTTCATGTATTCTGCTTCTGAAACGGCCTCCGTAAATTGTGACATAGTCAGCAGTATGTAATTATTACACCAAGAATGACAAGGTCTTAGAACTAGTGATAATAGTGGCAACGATAAAAGTCCAACACTAAAAAAACTAAAAAGTTCTTAAATTGTTACTATCCGTACATAAGCTAAGAAAGTGTTGTAATTGAATTCATCCGGTGACTGGCTACGTTCATGTTTTCTGGACGTTTTATGAGCCATAGAGTATGAAAAAATAGGTCTCTCATTTCCATCTATCTGTTTGCTGTCTGTCCGGGCTCTGTCGATTTTTATTAAACAGATAAAAAAAGAGTGGGTCGACCCAGGGACCCGCGGATGGAGTTTTAACTCTGCGTTGTCAATTTATATAAATTAAATACGTATACACAGCGAAGTCATTAATTTTCTCTTAAAAATTAATAAAAACATAAATACGTTGCAGTTGTATTTTTTGACAAAATGATGTTTGATGATGATGGTTGGGTTAATAAAAGTAAATATCCATGTATTGTCAATTGTTGTTCATTATAAAATATACTTTTTTTATTTATTTATCGTATAGAAATATCATAATTAATTATAATAATAAATAATTATAATAATAATATTGTATAAAAAAAAAATAAAGTACAATCTTAGATCATATAATAAATAGATACCACCATGCCGTGTTCTTTCCTTAGGAGAGCCTGTGACGACATCCTCCTGTCACACATCTCTCTTGTGCATGGAGGGATTACAATGAAGCTATCCTTGCCTGATCACTATTTGAATTTTGCGCGCCTAAATTTTAGAAAGTATGTCTGAACTAACTTCGTACGACAGATGTTGACAGCTTGATTTTATAAATAATTCACAGTAGATAACGAAAGGAATAGTAAATTATTGGGCAGCAATTGTGATCCTTTATGACTACATCACTTAAAATAGGATCTTTGTTCTAAATTCTAAAATTGTTTTTTGTACAACAACTCGAAAGAGAGGTTAGAAGAAACATCTGTCAAAAGCGATTTGTTGCGCTGGTGCGGTACAAGGATGTAAGTGAAATAGACATATACAGATGAAATGCATATAACAAAGATGAAGATGTGGTGATCACACAAGGATAGCATTATACTACTTCCCTTGACGTAGAAAACGACAACAGATAGTTTCATGTCTAGTCACAGCTTTCAGTTTAAGTATTGGTATCTATCTTAATATATATAAATCTCGTGTCACAATGTTGGTCCTCAATGGACTCCTAAACCACTTAACCGATTATAATAAAATTCGCACACCATGTGCAGTTCGATCCAACTTGAGAGATAGGATAGTTTAAATCTCAAATTATAGTCGCAATTTTAATTTATTGCTAATTATTTGTCTGCTATTATTTGACAGTCACAATTATCTGTTAACTCCAAATGATTCTAACAGATGTCGATACCTTTCGACTGGGTTTCTAATATTTAAACGATTAAATTATTATTGTCAGTCAAATGCCACCGAAAAAATCTAACCTCAACAACGCGAGCAGCAAAGGGTCACGACGCAAACGTGTTGAAAGAGCTCAGCAATTACCAGAACAAATCGAAACAAGAAATGCAGCTGAAAGAATCAGGACTGCAGAAAGTCGTGCACAAGAATCTCAAGAACAGCGTGACGAACGTCGGCAACAGAATATTACGAGAACAAGAGCGGCACGAGAACGAAACATAGCTACAGTACGAGTACTAGATCGACAAAGGCAACGGATCAGCCGCTCATTAACACGTGCATCATTCGTTCGGCTTGCCTTTGAATATGCACCAGATATTAACTACTCAGCGCATTCAAAAATTGCTATCGGTGGAATGGATAAAGTATGTCAATATTGTCAGGCATTGAATTTTCGGAATGAAGCAGCCGGCATGTGCTGCGCATCAGGAAAAGTTGTGCTGTCACCTCTACCCGCTCCGCCGGAGCCTTTATTATCCCTTCTTACTGGCAATTCAGATGATTCCAAATTATTTTTGCGTAAGATACGCAAATTTAATTCTTGCTTCCAAATGACGTCATTTGGGGCAACTAAAATTTGCGATCGTGCATCCGATGGACGTAATTTTGAAACTACATTCAAAATTCAAGGCCAGGTGTACCATAAAATCGGATCACTGATGCCAATGCCTGATAAGAATCCGAAATTTCTTCAAATTTATTTTATGGGCGATTGTGAAGAGCGCGTGACGACTCGGTGCCTGTATAATTTTATTGAACAAGCAGAGGAAAGAGCAAGTGTGATATTATTGGAAAATTTTTTAGAAGATCACAATCAACTAATTCAATTGATCAAAAGAGTTTCGCCACGACTGCAAAATGACAATTATCAAATCGTCATAAAAGCCGACAAAGTACCATTAGGTGAACATGCTGGTAGATTCAACGCTCCAACTGTTGATGAGGTTGCTGTTATCATGGTTGGTGATCCAGTTGACAAAAGATCTATAAAAATTACACGGCGAGACAACACTGTCAGTACGATTTCGGATCTACACCGTTCATATGACGCACTACAATATCCATTGATATTTTGGCAAGGACAAGATGAATATCACCTTAATATCAAACAGTATGATCCAAATACCGGTAAATTTGACAATTATCTATTTACTTTCTTACTGAATGTATAGATTTTAATTTCGTATTGCATTTTATTTTTTATTTTTTTAGGTGATTACAGAAATAATAAAGTTAGCTCAATGAACTACTACGCACACCGAATAATGGTTAGGCAACATCAAGACAATTATATCCTTCGATATCGTCAGCTGTTCCATCAATACATTGTTGATATGTATGCTAAGGTCGAAAGCGAACGCTTGCGATTCCTTCGATTCAACCAGGCAAAACTACGATCGGAAGAATATATTCACTTACGAGATGCTGTTGCTGGAAACATCGATGGAAATTTAAATCCCAATGACATCGGTAATGCTTTCATTTTACCTTCAAGCTACATCGGCAGTCCACGGAACATGCAGGAATACATACAAGATGCGATGACTTACGTACGTCATTACGGCCGACCGGATTTATTTATTACATTCACATGTAATCCGAATTGGGAAGAGATACAAACTTTACTATTGCCAGGACAACAAGCCATTCATCGTCATGATTTAACTGCACGTGTGTTTAAACAAAAATTGAAATCCTTAATTGATTTTATTGTTAAATATTCAATTTTTGGTATCACACGTTGTTGGCTGTATACGATAGAGTGGCAAAAGCGAGGTTTGCCTCATGCCCACATTTTGGTTTGGCTTAAAGATAGAATCCGTCCTGAAGAAATCGATCAAATAATTTCAGCCGAAATTCCAGACCCATTAATTGATCAAGAATTATTTGATATTGTAACCAAACACATGATCCATGGGCCATGCGGTGCTTTCAACATGACGTCACCGTGCATGGAAAATGGAAAATGTAAAAAAAAAATTCCCAAAGCCGCATACGAATGACACGATCACGGATATTGATGGTTATCCAATGTATCGCCGCAGAAGTACTGAGAATGGTGGCCACACATTTACAATGCGACTGCCGAACTTTCCAAATCAAGTTGAGTTTGATAATCAGTGGGTGGTACCATACTCACCACTACTTTCAAAAACTTACAAAGCTCATATCAATGTTGAGCTTTGCAGTTCTGTTAAATCAATTAAGTATATTTGTAAATATGTAAACAAAGGCAGTGATTTGGCCATATTTGAAGTACAAAACATAAATAAAAATGACGAAATAGCACGATACCAAATGGGCAGGTACATTAGCAGCAATGAAGCTATTTGGCATATTCTCAGCTTTCCCATCCACGAAAGCGATCCTGCTGTCCAACATCTGGCAATACATCTTTAAAACGGTCAACGTGTATACTTCACTGAAGAAAATGTTCTCCAAAGAGCGTTCGAAGCTCCGAAAACGACTCTAACTGAATTTTTTACATTGTGTCAAAAACCTGATGTTTTTGGCCAATTCGCGAAGACATTGGTGTTTGGTGATGTTCCACGTTATTTCACATGGAACAAATCCAGTAAAAAATGGGAGCCACGGAAACAAGGAAAACCACATCCTTCCATTACAGGCATATTCAAAGCTAAGACATTGGGGAGACTTTACACGGTACATCCAAAGCAACGTGAGTGCTTCTATTTACGTTTGTTATTGGTGAATGTTCCCGGACCAACGTCTTTTGAATTTTTACGAACAGTTAATGGTCGAGTATTCAATACATACCAGGATGCATGTCGTGAACTGCAATTGCTAGAAGACGATAACCATTGGGACTTAACGCTTGCTGATGCTGCGTTGACATCAACACCGAATAACATTCGTCAGTTGTTTGCAATTATTTTGACGACATGTTATCCCTCGCAAGCACAAACTTTGTGGGAAAAATATAAAAATTGTATGACAGAAGACATCTTGCACCGAATTAGACAAACAAATCAATGCCAAAACATAGATTATACACCAGAGATGTACAATGAAGCATTGGTCTTGATCGAGGATTTATGTGTTCTTATTTCAAATTTACCACTTAATCATTATGGTATGCCATCACCTAATCGTCCAGCCACCGACTTAGTCAATACCGATTTACAACGAGAAAATCAATATGACCATGGAAGTTTAGCAACAATTATCATGAACAGTGAACCATTACTGACAGCAGAACAAAAAATTATTTATGATCGGATTATGCTGGCTGTTGCTGCTGAACAAGGCGGTTTTTTTTTCTTGGATGCACCCGGTGGAACCGGTAAGACATTTTTAATATCGTTAATTCTTGCCAAAATACGGTCGCAACAAAAAATCGCATTAGCAGTAGCATCGTCAGGCATTGCGGCTACTTTACTGGATGGTGGGCGAACAGCACATTCAACATTCAAGCTGCCATTGGACGTTCATAATAAACCAGATGCAATGTGTAACATCAAAAAGAATAGTGGAATAGCTGCAGTGTTGCGGAAGAGTTCTATAATAATTTGGGATGAGTGCACAATGGCACACAAATATTCACTTGAAGCATTAAACAGAACTATGCAAGATTTAAACAGCAATAATAAACTTTTCGGTGGTGCTATCTTACTTTTGTCTGGTGACTTCCGGCAGACCTTACCGGTTATACCTCGCTCTACTTTCGCGGATGAGATTAATGCATGTTTGAAACAACCATTCTTATGGCGAAGTGTTGAAACACTTCGATTGACCATAAATATGCGAGTACAATTGCAAAATGATCCATCAGCACAAATATTTTCCGAACAACTACTAGATATTGGGAACGGTAAAATAGAACTGCAACCAAATACGCAATGCATTAAACTACCAGACAATTTTTGCACTGTTGTTCAGGATAAAAATGAATTGATTCAGAGTATTTTCCCGGATATACAGAATAATTATTTGAATCATGAATGGCTTAGTCAACGGGCGATTTTGGCAGCCAAAAACGTTGATGTTGACGAAATTAACTTCCAGATACAACAGTTGTTACCAGGTGATCTGATGTCTTTTAAATCAATCGATACTGTTGTTGATGAAAATGAAAGTGTAAATTTTCCGATTGAATTTTTAAATTCATTAGATATCCCTGGAATGCCACCACATAATCTTCGATTAAAGATTGGTTCCCCTATTATTCTCCTCCGTAATTTGAATCCACCTCAATTATGTAACGGTACGCGTTTGGTCATCAAAAAGATCACCGGAAACATTCTTGAAGCAACCATTTTGGCTGGGAAGTTTAAAGGAAAAGTGGTCCTGCTGCCACGTATTCCGATGATACCATCAGATTCTACCATACCCTTCAAAAGGCTACAGTTTCCAATTCGTTTAGCTTTCGCCATGTCTATAAATAAATCTCAAGGTCAAACAATGTCCATTTGTGGTTTAGATTTGGAAAATCCATGTTTTTCTCATGGGCAACTATATGTTGCGTGTTCACGTGTTGGGAAACCGTCGAATCTATTTGTGTTAGCTAAAGACAGGTTAACCAAAAACATTGTGCACCGATTGGTGTTAAATTAAATTGAAATTGAAAGTATTTATAATTCAAAAAAATAGATATTAATGTTTAAAACTTTAAGACTGTCTGCCTTGCCTACCTCATTCATGAGTTTAAGCGTCACATGTTATTTACTGTATTATACTGTAATATACTTATATTTGTTATAAAATTAAATGGAAATAATAAATCTGATAAATTTTTATTTTGTACCTATTGATTTCTGCTTAATATCAAGTGTAAGAACATTTTAATTAATTGTGTTCAACGTACTTCCCCTTCAAATCTCAATCCAGTGAATTTGTATACCAACATCAACATTTTCGTCTTTGTTCGTAAATAATTTCATTGTACTAAAGGGTTATAGTAGTAGAAAGTCAAATAAGGAGATCACCATATTTTTTTACAAATACCATCTGTGTGAAAAAGCATAGTGGACTCCGTGACTGATGTTCTCTTATTGTTCCTCTTAGATTGTTTACTATAATGTAATATAACAAAAACTTTAGCCACAGCAACGCGTGGCCGGGTCAGCTAGTTTATTATATGATCTAAGAGTACAATGTGTAATTAATTTGCCAATTGAAGTAATAAGTAAATATTTACAAATGCTAGAACAGTATTTATAACTTATTCGATTTAAAATACAAATTACTGTTCAGTCATAGCGTTATCGTCTTCGGTATCTTTATTCCTATCATGTGACTAAAATGGGCGATAAAAATATCAGTTCTTAAGTGTTACTACAAAGCGTGTGAAAACGGCATCAGTTGTTGTACCTAATTTAGTCGTTGGAACAGTGAAACGAACACATTTTATTAAATAGTTTATTAAATAGTTTATTTTTAGGTACTCATATAAAGGATATTATTTGTTAATTTCTATATTAGAAAGCTTATTATCAAATTCTCTAATCAAAGTATTTGCAGATATGTATCTACAAAAAAAATCAACACTACTTACTTAAATTTGCTGTGACTTTTCTCAGTTTCTGGTGGTTCACTTTCACTACTATCCATTGTCACAATAATTATTATTACTATTATTATTATTAATGAAATATCGCCCTACAGATTACTCCAATTAATGGGCGACCATTGAAACGTCAATATAAAACAAACAGAAATCATCATGTTTCTGTTCACCATACAGTGTGACTATAACATCTCTCTGTATGCATCTTTTAAGCACGAAAATATGCAGAACCATCTGTCATAGTAAATGTCCACTTGTTTGCATATTCCATTGCAGTATTGGCACATATTATGGAATAATGGTATCATGAAAAAAAATGTATATACACAACAGTAAAAGAATAAAAAGCAAACTCTGATGTAAAAGGGAGGTTAGGACATAATATTCTTTTTATGATTACTAGACAGCGGATGGTCGTCGGGCTAGGCAAAGCCAAACTCGGTACGGCTCGTACGGGATGGGAATTCATTGCAGTTACAGGCTGCACGTCCTTTATTTGAAAATAGAAAACGTTGCTTCGTTGCACTTTGCTGTTAATTTCCGTTCTTATTTACTTAGCCGTTTTACTACTTACGTTTTCGTTAATTTTATTTATGGAATAAGTGAAAATTAAATTCAGTGATTATCACCTGATACTGAGTCCTGGCCATCCAGCGCGTCATGATTACATTTGTACCGCCACAGTAATAGCTCGGTAAGCGAAATAAAGATCAGCCGCTCTGTAGCCTAGTGGTCAAGACACCTGCCGGGCAAGCGGGATATGTGCGGTTCGATTGCGCAACGAAACAGCAAACATGTTTTCTTCGCTTAGCTACATTGATGATTTCCGACGTGTTTGTCTTCGCTTACCTACACATTCACACCAGTTTATCTCTCTCTCTTTCTATAGCGCGGCGTTACATGTCTATGTTCAGACTCAGTTTAGACTGGTGTCGGTGTAGGTACGGAAAAACGTTAGCTCGCAGCTCGAACTCGACATCCTATTCTGGCACGCGTCGTATACGAAAAGAATAGTATATTAAAGAACGAGTTTCATAAGGCAAATATTGAGGCACGAATCCAAGTTTATAGAACGAGCGGCGAAGCCGCGAGTTATATAAAGGATGAGTGCCTCAATGGCCTTATGAACGAGTTATTTATACTATTTTTTCTACCGCACACGTTTTTTCCCAAAATTTAATTGAAATTTGCATTTTTTTTAATCTGGGGACTTTTGTCGTGGTTGGTGATGAGTTGGTCTGACACTAACCACGAAATATTTGAGGTTCGAATTTTCACAACAACAATTGTAATTCGAATCAATTCGAGTTTTTGTAATTTAAAATTGGTTAAAATGTCTTGCGAAGAAGTTACGCGTCCGGAAACGTGGGAAATTTTAAGTTTAGATTTGCCACTGACATTCACCTGACATTTCTCGTCATTGCTACCAATCTTACCGATCTAAATTACACCAGATCTATTAAAGAACGCCTTTCCGCTATTAACGAACTGCTGTGACGTCATTTGCGTGAGCTAATAGCTCTATTAGAAAACCAAAAAACGTGGGCGGTAGAAAAAGGAGTTAAAACTCCAATAATCTCCGAAACTATACGACCGATTGTTGTTAAAATTTTGTATGTGTATTAGAACTATAGTGTGCATGGTAAAACACTAACCAAAATTTGGATAATCATCTCCAGCAACAATTTGATCACATCCATTTATTATATTGCATAATTAACGTTAAGAAATAATATACCGTATTTAAGATTTAAAACACTGAAACGTTTTGAAAAATTATTAACTATGTTCATCTATATTTATTTTTTTTAAAGAAAGTACATGAAAGATGAACTGCTTGATAAAGACCTGTCTGGACATATTTATCCTAATTATTGACACGCATTCAAAGAAGGAAAGAGATTGTATGCTAATTTTGTGTTTCATTTATGTGATTGGTAAATCGATTCACGATGTAATCTTGATTTATTGGATTTAACATCATGGAGACTTTCATCTTTTTGTGGTTATAGTGTAGTGTCACTAAATTTTAGTTGGTTTGCAGTTTTAATTCATTTAATCTGATTAATAACTTCGGGAGTACAAATTTCAGAAGAACACGGCCAGGTTTGGATTTTGGATTTTATTTGCATTTAAATTTGTACCACACCGAGTAATAATTTGGACGTTGAAACCCACTCACTTTAGTTAAGCTGTTGCGAACTAGAGAATTGTGTACATTTCACAAAAAGCTGATAAAAATTTAATAAAATTCTTCCCTCCATATTTTTGTGTTGTAAATACAAGTTCACTTCTCCACCTTTGCAGTTCACTACTTTGCATTAGAACGAATTCCGCCATTTCAAAACACAACGTAGGTTTTGTTGACAATTTATGGCCACCTTTTAAACTTTTCACGGGTTTTCGAATTTTGTGCCCATATCTTAGTTTTGGCGGAATGTTTGGATTATCACAGTATAGTTTGAAGAAAGTTGCTAGAAAGAGGTTCTCTAGCTTTTCGAAGGCGATTAAGTAAATTTAGAATATTTTATGCTTATTAGATTTGCACTTTCTTATAAAATTCGGATCATTGATACTAGTTATATATTAAACAATTACACTGCCATATATTTTTAATATTTATCTACTTTAAAATATGCTGGCTGTAGGATCGTATTTGAAATATAGGGATTTTATATGTAAAAATGGCTTCCCTAATTATTTTAGAACAAAACGTTAACTACAAGAATTGTAGAGAATACAGAACTGTATATAAATTCTTTTTTATTTATTTTGTTACACCTTATGGTATTGAAATAAAAAGAAAAACGGATCCAATTTTAGGTCTCTTATATAATGACTTTTGGACTTTCGTTATGGTTACTCTTACACCTTATCCCATATTGCTAAAGAAAGAAGTCTAGGTCTACAAAATTTTCAAACTGTATTATCTCATTCGTTATTTGCATATCTCGTCCACAAATTCAATCGTATTCGCAAAATCCTAGTTTCTAGTCTTATAATAAAAATAAATTAAATAACTATTACAGTATAGAAGATTTTCTAAATTATTAACTACCTTAAAAGAAGTATCAACCTTAAAAATATTTCTATTTTATTTTCAACAGTTATACAAGATATAACACCACAAAAGAATTTTATAAAAAATACATTCATTCTTACTGGCTACATACTCCTAAACGCTGGAAAAATTGCGAACTATATCAAATTTTAATAAATTGATTTTATATTAAAATTGACTACCTCACATGTCATTGTCAGTATTTCATCTTGTAATGATGTCACGATCGATGTTCTATCCAAAGCTTTTATAATTTTAATAACCTCACTCCAAATTCTCCTGTCACTATCAGACGACATCAATCATCAACTCCCTGGCAGCACTACAAATAATATTTGAACTTCGGTAGTATTTAAAGAGAAAAAATTCTAACAAATCCTTCCAGAAATGACGTTTGAATTCGGCAACTGTTTAGGAATTTTAACTATAAATACGTCCTGTATTCCATACACCTATCGTATAATTCTTAATATTAAATCGTGCAGAAAATTTTGGAATACGTTTCCAAGCTTATATCTTTCGCAGCATTTGTGTTATAAATACCGAAGTTGAAGCTTAAACCAAACAAAGTTTGCTCCTATAAAAATCCTTTCCAACAAATTTCTTGCAGTTTATATGTAGCATGCCGTCGATACGGGGCATAACAATCAAAATTTTGACTTTCCACCATGCAGTAGATTAAAACTTTTAAAACTCTTCGAAATTGTTTATTGGATTAATCAAGTCGTATGAAAGAAGCAACGTCTGCTTCAGGTTCTTTCCTATTTTCCTTTACGTATTTTCCTTATAATAAATGATAATCCCTAAAACTTTCCCAATTTATGCATGACACCCGGCGATTTTTTTGCCTCGTTTTGAAACTCCACACATTTCATAATAGTTTGTTGCAAGTTTGCGCAAATTTATTTACATTTTAATTTCCATATGACGAAAATGGCTAAAGTTGAAACTGCTATAAATATTATTTAAAACAATTACGTTGTGCAA